ATTTTTAGTGCTTGGTGTTTTAGAGAAAGATGAAACAAATTTTCGAAATAAATTTATAAGGCCGACGGAAAAAACGATAGCGTATTGCAAGAAAGTCCAGCGTGCGATAATTATAACTTGTCATCGGTCATTACGGTGGTTGAGGCTTTGTTATCTTTCGTCCGACCTCTGGAGTCTCTGATGCTTTTGCATTCTTACCTATTTACAAGATATTCCTTTGACCAGCAGATAGCAAATGCTAATCGAGGCGGTCAAATTTTTTTTTCTTTACTAACCTATTTTAATTACACTGGAAATAAAACGGAAAAGAAGAAATACAACATGAAAAGACAAAAAGATACACATGACTGAAAGCAAAAAAGGAAAATAGCAAATGTTCATTGTAAAGGAGAAAAAGTCCTAGAGTTTATTTTATTATTACTATTATTATTATTAACCAACAGACGCGCGCCTTACTTGAAATGTCTCCGAAAAAATTCGAGGAAAAATCCGCGATTTGCCGCGAGATAATCCTGCAGAGTGTGAAGGCTTCATTCGAAAGCTGTATAAAAGCATCACGTCCTTACAAGATTCCGATGAGAAAGAGAATCTGCTTGATGAACTGGAAACAGTTGCCTGCTGGGGATTACAAAAGGACCTGAAGAAAATGTTGAAATAAAATGGGTTGCACCTCGAAGGGTTACCCCTGGTTGTGAGATCCATGGCAAATACAGGTGAGCTTGCGGAATATTTGTACAGTCATTCTAAAGAGGATATAGAGAAGGAAGGCTTGGCCAGTGTAAACAAGCGGCTTCGACCACATCTTGAAGTGCTTGGAGGCCTCATTGCTGAAGGAATTGATTCCACAAAGGAATGGGTGAAAAGGCTTAGTGGGAAAGCTCCGTCATTTAAGGTACTTTCTCGGCTAGAATCAAGCGAACTTCAGTCTTACTGCCAAGGAGCTGATGACGGAGAAATGGACCAAGTTCGCCAGTTGGTTCAAACTGTTAAGTTTAACAAAAATAAAAGCTCCCAGATGTTCCGCAAGATGATAGGCTCGTGCAAAACACCAAAGCAACGAAAGCTGTAGGTGAAAGACTTTTTTCGCAACGGTAAGAATGGCCAAACTTTAGTATTAGAGGCAAAAACAGAACAGGTCTCTAATCATAGAGCAGATAGAGTGTTTCCTACTCTTTCTAAGTAAAAAATTATATATTTTTTTTTGTTTTTTTTGTAAGTTGTAGTGTTATCAGATTTAATTTGCCCGAGATTAAATCTAGTGACCGAAGACGGTAGGAAGTTTGGAGTTACTGCCGCTTGCCAACTCTGGAACTTCTCAAGCCTGGAACTCAAGAATTCCGGATCAATAGAGTCTTCTAAGACTAATTATAGAAATATCCACCTTGGTAAATATCCACCAAGGCTTGTCCGCCAAGTTAAAAACTGTTACCTCGGACTTGAAAATGCTTCCCCCGGTCTGCTTTTATTTGAAGTGTTCTGAAAGGAATTTGAGTTAGCAGTTACTGTGATATCCATGAATCAATGAGCTTTTCTATGAAATAATTTACAATCAAATATTTATCCAGTATTTCAACATTGTAACTGGAATATTTGTGACGATGTAGCCTTTTTGGA